CAGGTGACTGATTTGGTCAACTCCATCAGTGACTGATTTGGTCAACTCTATCAGTGACTGTGTTAGTCAACTCCATCAGTGACTGATTTGGTCAACTCCATCAGTGACTGTGTTGGTCAACTCCAGTGACTGTGTTGGTCAACTCCATCAGGTGAATTGGTCAACTCCATCAGGTGACTGATTTGGTCAACTCCATCAGGTGACTGATTTGGTCAACTCCATCAGGTGACTGTTTTGGTCAACTCCATCAGGTGACTGTTTTGGTCAACTCCATCAGTGACTGTTTTGGTCAACTCCATCAGGTGACTGTTTTGGTCAACTCCATCAGGTGACTGATTTGGTCAACTCCATCAGTGACTGATTTGGTCAACTCCATCAGTGACTGATTTGGTCAACTCCATCGGTGGCTGTTTTGGTCAACTCCATCAGTGACTGTTTTGGTCAACTCCATCAGGTGACTGTTTTGGTCAACTCCATCAGGTGACTGTGTTGGTCAACTCTATCAGTGACTGTGTTGGTCAACTCCATCAGTGACTGTTTTGGTCAACTCCATCAGGTGGCTGTTTTGGTCAACTCCATCAGGTGACTGTTTTGGTCAACTCCATCAGGTGACTGTTTTGATCAACTCCATCAGGTGACTGATTTGGTCAACTCCATCAGTGACTGATTTGGTCAACTCCATCAGTGACTGTGTTGGCCAACTCCATCAGGTGACTGTTTTGGTCAACTCCATCAGGTGACTGTTTTGGTCAACTCCATCAGGTGACTGATTTGGTCAACTCCATCAGTGACTGATTTGGTCAACTCCATCAGTGGCTGTTTTGGTCAACTCCATCAGTGACTGTTTTGGTCAACTCCATCAGGTGACTGTTTTGGTCAACTCCATCAGGTGACTGTGTTGGTCAACTCCATCAGTGACTGTGTTGGTCAACTCCATCAGTGACTGTTTTGGTCAACTCCATCAGGTGACTGTTTTGGTCAACTCCATCAGGTGACTGTTTTGGTCAACTCCATCAGGTGACTGTTTTGATCAACTCCATCAGGTGACTGATTTGGTCAACTCCATCAGTGACTGATTTGGTCAACTCCATCAGTGACTGTGTTGGTCAACTCCAGTGACTGTGTTGGTCAACTCCATCAGGTGACTGTATTGGTCAACTCCATCAGGTGACTGTTTTGGTCAACTCCATCAGTTGACTGTTTTGGTCAACTCCATCAGGTGACTGATTTGGTCAACTCCATCAGTGACTGATTTGGTCAACTCCATCAGTGACTGATTTGGTCAAATCCATCAGTGACTGTGTTGGTCAACTCCAGTGACTGTGTTGGTCAACTCCATCAGGTGAATTGGTCAACTCCATCAGGTGACTGATTTGGTCAACTCCATCAGGTGACTGATTTGGTCAACTCCATCAGGTGACTGATTTGGTCAACTCCATCAGTGACTGATTTGGTCAACTCCATCAGGTGACTGTTTTGGTCAACTCCATCAGGTGACTGTTTTGGTCAACTCCATCAGTGACTGTTTTGGTCAACTCCATCAGGTGACTGTTTTGGTCAACTCCATCAGGTGACTGATTTGGTCAACTCCATCAGGTGACTGTTTTGGTCAACTCCATCAGGTGACTGTTTTGGTCAACTCCATCAGTGACTGATTTGGTCAACTCCATCAGGTGACTGTTTTGGTCAACTCCATCAGGTGACTGATTTGGTCAACTCCATCAGGTGACTGTTTTGGTCAACTCCATCAGGTGACTGTTTTGGTCAACTCCATCAGTGACTGTTTAGCTCAACTCCATCAGGTGACTGTGTTGGTCACCTCCATCAGGTGACTGATTTGGTCAACTCCATCAGTGACTGTTTGCTCAACTCCATCAGGTGACTGTTTTGGTCAACTCCATCAGTGACTGTCTTGGTCAACTCCATCAGTGACTGATTTGGTCAACTCCATCAGTGACTGTGTTGGTCAACTCCATCAGGTGACTGTTTTGGTCAACTCCATCAGGTGACTGTTTTGGTCAACTCCATCAGTGACTGTGTTGGTCAACTCCATCAGGTGACTGTGTTGGTCAACTCCATCAGCTGACTGTTTTGCTCAACTCCATCAGGTGACTGTTTTGCTCAACTCCATCAGGTGACTGTTTTGGTCAACTCCATCAGGTGACTGTTTTGCTCAACTCCATCAGGTGACTGTTTTGGTCAACTCCATCAGTGACTGTGTTGGTCAACTCCATCAGGTGACTGATTTGGTCAACTCCATCAGGTGACTGATTTGGTCAACTCCATCAGGTGACTGATTTGGTCAACTCCATCAGGTGACTGTTTTGGTCAACTCCATCAGGTGACTGTGTTGGTCAACTCCATCAGGTGACTGTTTTGGTCAACTCCATCCGGTGACTGTTTTGGTCAACTCCATCAGGTGACTGTTTTGGTCAACTCCATCAGGTGACTGTTTTGGTCAACTCCATCAGGTGACTGTTTTGGTCAACTCCATCAGGTGACTGTTTTGGTCAACTCCTTCAGGTGACTGTGTTTTGGTCAACTCCATCAGGTGACTGTTTTGGTCAACTCCATCAGGTGACTGTTTTGGTCAACTCCATCAGGTGACTGCTTTGGTCAACTCCATCAGGTGTCTGTGTTGGTCAACTCCATCAGGTGACTGTTTTGGTCAACTCCATCAGTGACTGTTTTGGTCAACTCCATCAGTGACTGATTTGGTCAACTCCATCAGTGACTGTTTTGGTCAACTCCATCAGGTGACTGATTTGGTCAACTCCATCAGGTGACTGTTTTGGTCAACTCCATCACGTGACTGTTTTGGTCAACTCCATCAGGTGACTGTGTTGGTCAACTCCATCAGGTGACTGTTTTGGTCAACTCTATCAGGTGACTGTTTTGGTCAACTCCATCAGGTGACTGTTTTGGTCAACTCCATCAGGTGACTGTTCGGTCAACTCCATCAGTGACTGTTTTGGTCAACTCCATCAGGTGACTGTTTTGGTCAGCTCCATCAGGTGACTGATTTGGTCAACTCCATCAGTGACTGTTTTGGTCAACTCCATCAGGTGACTGTTTTGGTCAACTCCATCAGGTGACTGTTCGGTCGACTCCATCAGTGACTGTTTTGGTCAACTCCATCAGGTGACTGCTTTGGTCAACTCCATCAGGTGTCTGTGTTGGTCAACTCCATCAGGTGACTGTTTTGGTCAACTCCATCAGTGACTGTTTTGGTCAACTCCATCAGTGACTGATTTGGTCAACTCCATCAGTGACTGATTTGGTCAACTCCATCAGGTGACTGATTTGGTCAACTCCATCAGGTGACTGTTTTGGTCAACTCCATCAGGTGAATTGGTCAACTCCATCAGGTGACTGTTTTGGTCAACTCCATCAGTGACTGATTTGGTCAACTTCATCAGGTGACTGATTTGGTCAACTCCATCAGTGACTGATTTGGTCAACTCCATCAGGTGAATTGGTCAACTCCATCAGTGACTCTTTTGGTCAACTCCATCAGTGACTGATTTTGTCAACTCCATCAGGTGACTGTTTTGGTCAACTCCATCAGGTGACTGATTTGGTCAACTTCATCAGGTGACTGATTTGGTCAACTCCATCAGTGACTGTGTTGGTCAACTCCATCAGGTGACTGATTTTGTCAACTCCATCAGGTGACTGATTTGGTCAACTCCATCAGGTGACTGATTTGGTCAACTCCATCAGTGACTGTTTTGGTCAACTCCATCAGGTAACTTTTTTTGTCAACTCCATCAGTGACGGTTTTGGTCAACTCCATCAGGTGACTGATTTGGTCAACTCCATCAGGTGACTGATTTGGTCAACTCCATCAGTGACTGTTTTGGTCAACTCCATCAGGTGACTGATTTGGTCAACTCCATCAGGTGACTGATTTGGTCAACTCCATCAGGTGACTGATTTGGTCAACTCCATCAGTGACTGTGTTGGTCAACTCCAGTGACTGTGTTGGTCAACTCCATCACGTGACTGTTTTGGTCAACTCCATCAGGTGACTGTTTTGGTCAACTCCATCAGGTGACAGTTTTGGTCAACTCCATCAGGTGACTGTTTTCGTCAACTCCATCAGCGACTGTGTTGGTCAACTCCATCAGTGACTGTGTTGGTCAACTCCAGTGACTGTGTTGGTCAACTCCATCATGTGACTGTTTTGGTCAACTCCATCAGGTGACTGTTTTGGTCAACTCCATCAGGTGACAGTTTTGGTCAACTCCATCAGGTAACTGTTTTGGTCAACTCCATCAGTGACTGTGTTGGTCAACTCCATCAAGTGATTGTGTTGGTCAACTCCATCAGTGTCTGTTCTGGTCAACTCCATCGGGTGACTGATTTGAACTCTCCTTGGGAGGAAAACGGAGAACCCCGCTGGAAAATCTCACACGAGCCGTGGTGGGGGGTGGGAATACTCCATCCCCGTATGGATGGAAACTGATGGCGATTAGTCCAAGTCCACTGGCTGTGTTGCCATCATACCCTGATGACGCTGAGCGGAAAGGGGAGAGGAAGTTTCACGAATTTGTGCCGTCCACCAGCCCTTGCTACAGTGCCGTATATTCCGAACTTCTTACGCAACGTGCATAGCCGACCATTCTAATTGGAGGTGCGGTGTATGTACGTGTGTACGTTGAACTTCTTTCGCACCATACGAAGCCACCCGTGCTAATCGTAGCTGCGGGTATGTGCCGTATGTTGAACTTCTTTCTCACCGTACGTAGCCAACCGTGCTAACCGGAGGTGCGGGGTTTACACGCGAGCGTTGCAGGGTTACGGCTCTACGCCCGGGCCCGGTGCAGTTGCACCGCCTGTACACCCGACCGACGGCTACGCCAGTTGCCCAGCAACAGCGGCGGCGGCGGCCGCGTCTCTTCTCAGCGTCTCGGCAGGCTCCCAAGTGGCACGTCGCTTGAAACGACGTCGGCTGAACTCGCGTCGTCGGTTCACCTTGTCCTTTTTGCTTTGACTAGAAAAGAAAAAAGTCACGAAATCGAAGAAGATGAAAGTCAAAAACGATCACGGCCACCGTGATGGAGACGGCCAGGAGGAGCCTGCCCCGGACTTCACTTGGTACGACCCGTCGGCTCCCGATTGCAATGGGACGGACCGTACCAATGCAGCCGAGAAAGAGAATGGGTGCGTACCACGTGCCATGCGTACTGCGAACGTCCTAGCAGTCCGGATTGTAAGACGCACCAAATAAAGTTATACAGGCTCGCACAGAGACACAGACTCACACATAGACCCACAGACTCGCACAGAGCCACACAGACTCACACACAGACCCACAGACTCGCACAGAAACCCACAGACTCAAACAGAGACATATAGACTCGCACAGAGACCCACAGACTCGCACAGAAACCCACAGACTCATACAGAGGCCCACAGACTCACACAGAGACCCACTGACTCGCACAGAAACCCACAGACTCATACAGAGGCCCACAGACTCACACAGAGACCCACTGTCTCGCACAGAGACCCACAGACTCGTACAGAGACCCACAGACTCGCACAGAGACCCACAGACTCGCACAGACACCCACAGACTCGCACAGAGACCCACAGACTCACACAGAGACCCACAGACTTACACAGAGACCCACAGACTCACACAAAGACCCACAGACTTACACAGAGACCCACAGACTCATACAGAGACCCACAGACTCATACAGAGAGCCATATAGACTCACAAAGACCCACAGACTCATACAGAGACCCACAGACTCATACAGAGACCCACAGACTCATACAGCGACCCACAGACTCGCACAGAGACCCACAAACTCATACAGAGGCCCACAGCCTTGCCGCTTCCCTCCGACGTTGACTAATTTGTGGCACCCATCTGGAGCAGAGACCCTGGAGCAGCGGGGCAGCCGAGCACGGATCCAGGAGCTGAGGTGGCAGAACCCCTGTCTGTGGGGACCGCGGTCGGGCCGAGGAGGGGTGGACGGGGAGCCCGCGGAGGGAGGCGAAGCCGAGGGAGAGGAGGGAGAGGAGGGAGAGGAGGAGGGAAGGGGAAGGATGTGGCGAGAATTGTGACGGAGGCAGTACCCAGGGAGAGCTGCTCAACCCCAGGTGAAGTTGGGTAGCCATCTTGTTTTGTCTAGTTGTTCAACGTCTTATAAACTCCATAATAGAGGTTTTTTGGGTTAGATCGCGTAACTATATAAAAGTGTCGTTAAACCCGCCACCAACCCGACACAGCCAATTGGTGAGGTTTGTCACGAAAACAGAACATGCCAATTCGTTACTATGATATTAGTCGCGAAAGCCTGCGTGTTAATCTTATAAAACTACGAACTCTTTAAATTTATTCTACCCGGTAAGGCCCCGTGGAAATTTATAGCAGCCAAATAGTCTATAAACACGTGGCGTCGATTCTAATCGTGGAGGGAAAAACTGGAGAACCCGGAGAAATATCCACGCGACCACGGGGAGAGAGACACGCAAATATACAAGCTTCAGAGTTGCGATCGAAACTACGACCTCCTGCATACCAGGCGAGGTAGTTAACATTTCGCCACCGCATCGCGACCCGTGAAACCACGATTGTAGCTCAACATCTCTAATGTCTGTACCATCCGAAGACACCCATGAAATAATAATAAACTCATGATTAGTCACGATTGATCCACTGCTGGATTGAGGCATCCCCAAGCTGCCGCCACCGCCACCTCTCACGGCGATCCACCCACCATGAGCCGATTCCATCGCTGCAACCCCCTCGACATCATCCCATCAAATCTCGAGGGGTGGCGGCCACTCTGTCGTGAATCCTGACCGTCGGCCGTCAGCCCTTCTTGGCGACCCCGTGACCTTCTCTCAATGGGTGTCTTTATATTCCTCCGTTCCTGGAAGAAAAAAATCTCCCGGCACGTGAAACGTTAGGCACATCGCGCCAATCGCGATTTTATAATCGTCGCTTGGCACGTCCCTCCTGATGGGATGCACGCATCACACACACACACACACACACGTGCACACGCGCATCACATGCACACGCGACTTTGTTCAACTATCCACAGATGCGGCGGTGGCAGTGGCGGCGGCTGCGGCTGGCGATGACCACGACGCCGAAGCGGAGGTTTTGTCGGGAGAGCACCGAGGCGGTGAGCGCGACGGGGTGGACGCGCAGATCGCGGGAACTTCGCCTGCCGGTTCATCCGCCGGGGATGCCGGGCGGGGCGCCGGCGGTAGCCCACGAGGCGACGACTCCGTCGCCGGCGATTCGGAGCACGTCCGCCCGGGAGGAGGACGTGGGGAACCCTGGGAGAACCCGCCGCCGTCGCGGGTACGTCTGTGTATACATTGGACTTCTTTCGCGCCGTACGTGGCCAACCGTGTTAACCGGAGGTGTGGGGTTTACAGGCGAGCGTTGCAGAAGCCCGAGGCGACAGAACTCCCATGGAGAGCGCCACCCACGGCACGCGGATTCCTCCCGAGGCACTCGCCGACGCTCCGGTCTTGGCGACGAGCGGCGGTGGCGTCGCCGATGCGTCGGCGCGGCTGCGGAGGCCGCAGAGGAGGCCGAAGCCGAGCGTCGGGCCGTCGTTGCGGCGCGCAGCCATTCGATGCGGGGGGCGGACGGGAGGAGGATCGCCGGCGGCCGACGACGGTGGAGCGGGGGCCGCGTCCGTTGGGTCTGCACGGTCGGAGGCTCGCGAGGAGGAGGACAAGCCGGGGAAGGAGGAAGGGGAGGAGGAGGAGGAGGAGGGCGGGAAGCGCCCTACAAACGCACGCACGCCTGAGAAGGACGTCGCCGCTCGCCGGATTGCCGTGACGGCGCCAGCAGAATCGGCGGAGGGTTCGTGCGCCACCGCCTCCGCTGCGACTGTCGTGGAAGCGAATCGGCGGGAGGCGGGGAGAAGCGACGTTGCTCGCGGAGCCGTTGAGGCCGGGGGCGACGGCCGCGGCTCCGGAAACGTTGGCGACGACGGCGATGGCGGCGGCGACGACGAAGGGACAACGGCAAAACACGAAACGCGACGGCACGAAGCGCAGGGGGACGCCGCAGATTCGCTGGCGGTGGTTGTCAAGTCTGACGACGCCTGTAGCTCAAGACCCCGCCTGCAGGCCACCGCCGAAGCTTCTGAAGACTTTGTCCAAGGCCGCTCGGGGGCAGCCTCGGGGGCGGCCTCTGGCAGCGCGGAGACCGACGCCGTCCCGACGCTCACGGCGGAAGCGGGAGGGAAGGGCGGCGGACGCTCGCGTCTGCAGAAACCCCGGCCGAACATCACCGGGTGCAGGGCAATCGGGGCGAGAGGTCGAGGGTCGCGCGAACGGATGCCCGCCGCTGTGGGGCGGCGTCGAGGCGGCCAGGCGGCGGGCATCGGAGACGATCCGGGGGCCGCCTCCCCGGGGGCTTCGTCGGACGATCGTCGCGACGAGCCGGCCGACGATGCCTCGCTCCGCGGCGAAATGACGGTGCCCATTGGATTGCCCGGCGCCGGCGTCGCTGCCGTCGGATCGGTCGTTGGGCCGGGAGGACCGGCTCCGTCAGACGCAGGAGGAGGTCGCGAGCCTCGGCGGGAGAGCTTCGGTGTTGCGGAAGCGCGGCGATCGGGAGGCTCGCTTGAATTTGCCACAAATGGCGGTGAGGTTCGTGTTGTCTCGGGGAGTGCCGAACAACAACGAGAACAACAACAACGAGAACAACAACAAGGAGAACAACAACAACAAGGAGAACAACAACAACAAGGAGAACAACAACAACAAGGAGAACAACAACAAGGAGAACAACATCAAGGAGAACAACAAGGAGAACAACAACAAGGAGAACAACATCAAGGAGAACAACAACAACAAGGAGAACAACAACAAGGAGAACAACAACAACATCAAGGAGAACAACAACAACAAGGAGAACAACATCAAGGAGAACAACAACAAGGAGAACAACAACAAGGAGAACAACAACAAGGAGAACAACAACATCAAGGAGAACAACAACAAGGAGAACAACATCAAGGAGAACAACAACAACAAGGAGAACAACATCAAGGAGAACGACAACAACAAGGAGAACAACAACAACAAGGAGAACAACAACGAGGAGAACAACAACAACAAGGAGAACAGCAACAACAAGGAGAACAACAACAACAAGGAGAACAACAACAACAAGGAGAACAACAACAACAAGGAGAACAACAACAACAAGGAGAACAACAACAAGGAGAACAACAACAAGGAGAACAACAACAACAAGGAGAACAGCAACAACAAGGAGAACAACAACATCAAGGAGAACAACAACAACGAGAACAACAACAAGGAGAACAACAACAACAACAACAACAACAAGGAGAACAACAACAACAAGGAGAACAACAACAAGGCGAACAACAACAACAACAAGGAGAACAACAACAACAACAACAAGGAGAACAACAACAAGGAGAACAACAACAACAACAACAACAAGGAGAACAAGGAGAACAACAACAAGGAGAACAACAACAACAACAACAAGGAGAACAACAACAACAACAACAACAAGGAGAACAACAACAACAAGGAGAACAACAACAACAACAAGGAGAACAACGAAATGACCGTCCTGTCGAGACGGCGAACTCGCCCGAGCCGTGCGACTCACCTCTCATCTCGGGGGAGCCCGCAAGTCGTGGCCACCGACGGCAAGCCGCGACGGGATGGGAAATGCCGGGGCGCGCCGCAACGCCCGGACGCGACGAGCTCGGCATCCTCGACCCGCCCGTTGCGGAAACGATCGCCGGAGCGTGGGGGGGGGAAGCCGCCCACGCCGACGCCTGCGGACGGCGAAGTGTCGGCGAACTTGACGCCGCCGTGGTGACGGAGCAGGGCAGAGACGCGTCCCGAACGAGCGGCCGCATGCCAAGCGACGCTGCGGGGGACGCCACAGGCGAAGCCCAGCGGTCGAGATCACCGAGGCCCAAGCCGAACATCGGAGCGGCGGGGAGCGGGGCGATGCCCGCGGACCGGCGGCCTCTACGGGAGGCCACGGACCGCGGCGGGATCGTGGCGCAACGTCTCCGGTCTTCGTCGCGCGACGCCGGGGCCGCCCCCGCGGCGATGGCGGCTTGGGTCGTTGCCGCCGCCGTGGCCTTGCCGGGCGCTTCGGAGGACGCCGGACGGAAGGCCGCGGCGGTCGGGCACTCGGAGGCCGAGCCGGAACGCACGGGAGACGATCGGCGCGAGGAGGGGAGCGCCGTCGCTCCGGAACGAAGCACCGGCGGCGGAGGCGACGGGACGTCGAGAGGCATCGGTCGCCGGGAGGCCCCGGAGGCCGCGGGCGGGGCGGCGCGGTCGCGACCGAACGCCGGAGCGGTGCGCGGCCGGGCCGCCCGAAGCCTGGCCAACCCCACGGAGAGGGGGCAGGACGAAGCGCCGTGGCGCCGCGACGTCGCCGCTCGGGAACGAGGCGCCGACGGCGAAGGCGACGACGGAGCGCCGGCCGATGTCGACCGGCGGGAGGCGCCAGTGTCCTACACGCTCACGCTGCTCGAAATACCGCGGTCCATATACGCGATGGGCGCACCGCGTCGTGCCGGCGCCCGGGTGGGCGAGGCGGCAATGCGGGCAACGACAGCACCGGCGGGTAGAGGGGCCGAGAACGGTGGCGAGCCTGCGGGGGAGGCGATCGCCGAGGCCGGGCGCGAGGAGGAGGAGGAGGATGCAGTGGTGACGGGAGGCGGAGAGGCGGCGTCGGGGTTGGAGGCCGGGGTGCCGCGCTGCGCCGGCGACCCGAGTGAGTGCCGACGAGAGCCGCGGCAGCGCCTTCGTGGGCTCGCAACCGCGACGTGCTGCATTCGCACCGCCGATTAGCGCGGTCGGACACGTACGGTGCGAACGAAAGTTCGACAAGCATGCGTACCGTGTCCTCGCCTGGAGGAAACGCATACCCTCATCACTCTACAGAACAGGGCGAGAACATCCACGCACTCGCTCTGCATACAAGTGGGAGAGCGTACAAACGGCAAGGCCACCCAAGTTACGAATCAAACCCATATCGTTCTTGCTGTTAGGCACGAGTGTTACCGGTGCACCATCTTGCCGCCCTCTTCCACACGCGCAGTTATGTGGCGATTTCGCGCGACGTGCAGGGCATGCTGGGAGGACCGAGCCTATGTTCACAGTGGCGCTTTTTTCTCTCTTTAACCCCTTGACCCCCAGCAGAGCAGGGGGCACCCCCACGGGACTCCACGGCTCCTCCTCCTCCCCTTACCCCGTCACCGAGGCCGGGCCGTGCAAGGTGCAGCAGCGACGATGCACGAGAGGAGGAGGAGGAGGAGGAAGAGGAGGGAGAGCGTGGAGCTCAGTGCGGCTCCACGGAGGAGCGAGCACCACGGCGCGACCGTGAACCCAACTCCAATGACTCTCATGCCCGACGAGGAGGGACTACTGTTGCGGCGGCGGCGGTGGTGTTGGACGAGGAGGTGGACGAGGTGGACGAGGTGGCGGAGAAGAAGGTGGAGGAGGTGGAAGAGGTGGAGGAGGTGAAGCAGGTTGAGGAGGTGGAGGAGGTGAAGCAGGTGGAAGAGGTGGAGGAGGTGAATAAGGTGGAAGAGGTGGAGGAGGTGAAGCAGGTGGAGGAGGTGGAAGAGGTGGAGGAGGTGAAGCAGGTTGAAGAGGTGGAGGAGGTGAAGCAGGTGGAGGAGGTGGAAGAGGTGGAGGCTGTAGCCAGGAGAACGTCGACGCCACGCGGCAGCAAGCGCGACCGAGATGCCGCAGGACGTCCCCGGATCAGCCCCGAGGAAACCGCTGCCAGGATGCCGCCACCACCACGGCCGCCACCACCGCGGCCGCCACAGGGGGCCCTCAGGAAGAGGACGATGGCTCTGAAGAGAGGTGGTGGCGAGCCTGAGGAGGAGGAGGCTGGGGGGGGCAGAGTCCCCGAAGCGCCGGCGAAACGTCCGCGCCACGGCCCGGGACGGCGACGCCGGGACGAGGGAGTTCCCGCTCGGCACGCGGAAGCCGAGACCGGCGCCGGCGAGCGTGACGCCGCGTCCGGGCGAGAGCCTCCGGCCCGGGGGGAGGGGAAGAGGAGGAGCGCCGGTGGGCGAGCCGAGGGAGGGGAAGTGGAGCGGGCGAAGGGATGGCGCCGCTTGCGCCTTGGCAACTCGGCGGAGGAGACTTCGACGAGGGGCGGGAGGGCGGATGAGGACGACGAGGCGGAGCGTTCGTTGGTAAGCGGCGACGACGATGATGGGACTGCGGACGGAGAACGCGTGGCCGGAACTCCTGCCGCTGCCTCACCCAAAGCTGAGGTACTCGCGCGAGGCCACGGTCGTGAGAGCCATGCGACAATGACCGCGGAAACGCACACACGCGCTCTCACACGCGCTCACACACACGCGCTTACACACACGCCGCTGCTTTGTTTACCGTACTCGATGCACGCCGCCGATTGGCAGGGTCGGCTACGTACGGTACGAAAGAAGTTCAACATACCTACATATGTACGAACGCGGCGCACAAGCCCTTGTCGTTGTTTTTGTCTCTCGCTCGACCTTTGCCCCCATCCCCCAACTCCTGTCAATCAGACCTCGTGGTACAGGCCTGGGGTGCGGTCCCCCTCCAGCACCCCGGCGCAGGGGATCGGAGCCCCCCGATTGGGGGCCTCGGGGATCGCCGGCGCCGCCAGCCCCTCCATGTCTCCCGACGCCGACCCCGATGCTCTGTCGACTTTCACCATCGAGGACATCTTCGTGGAAGTCCAGTGACGTCCAGCTGCAGAGCCGAGCGCGATGCGGGCTTCGCGCTCTGCATCATCATCATCATTGGCATCATCATCTTTAATCCACGGTCAATCAGCCGCTGGATGAAGGCCGCCACCCCAAGCCGCCCACCGCCTCTCGCGATCCCGCGATGCGACCCGCGCGACGTAGCCACTCGCACGTGAGCTGATGTCGTCGCCCTGTGGCTTCACTCTTCGTCATCATCATCACCTTCGCGTTAATATTTACATCGCGCCAATACGTCTCGCGTCGCGCTTGTGGGGTGCCCAAGCCACCGCATTTTTTCCCGCCGTGTTTATCGCTTTGTTTGTTTATTTATCAAGTATTTATTAAGGAATCGGCCTATCAGATGGTGAAATCACCCGAGCCGTTTGTTGGCTCTGGAAGTTGCGGTCCAAAGGGTGGGTCGGCGACTTCGCTCGGTGCCGTGAAATCGTGGGAATGTGACGACTCGGTTTTTTTGCGAGTTGTCCACGTGTTGTATTGTACGTTGAATTTCTTTCGCAAGGACGAACAAACAAAACGCAGAAAGCGGTTCACAACTCGGGACGTGGACCGACTTTCTTTTCTTGCCATCGCGGTCCCTCCGGGTAGCGTCTGCGGTGATGTGTTCCGGACCGATGTTTTGAAAACTTGGGGCTGCTAATCGTTGCGGACCTCGAGAATTTCCAAAATCATCCGGGATTCGCCCTCAATCTTCTCAGATGTTTGAAGCTAAGCGGGGCCGCGTGGATTTTACACCAGGCCCTCCGGTTTCCCCCTCCGCATTTAGAATCAGCATCACGCGTTTAGAGTGTTTGGCTGCTATATATTTCCACGTGGTGGTGGTGATGATGATGATAATGATCCACTCTGTTGAGCCATCATTTTTGTGATAGCCAGCTCGTTTCTGAGAAAGAGTTACATAGCTCACTGGTGGGGCCTTTCCTGGTAAAATAAAATGAATATAATCAAACTATAAGGTCGTTTTCTCTTTCAAAGAACGAGCGAATACCGTGTGCGGTGGTGCATTTCAAGTTTAAATTCTAATTTTCCTTATTATTTCATCTGTTCAACTCTGTAGCATTTCTTGAACAGGCCTGACGCTGCCGATGGTACCCAGAAGGTGAAAACCTGTCCAGGAGTGTGCCTGCCAAACAAATGCTGCTGCTACTGCTGCTGCTGGATAACATTGGTCTGGGAAACCAAAATGCCGGTGGACTAAAAAGCATATTATTTTATTATTTACACCTGGCGAGACGAGGGAACGCAACGCAGGTTTAAACGACGACGCCCTTGGCGACGTTCGGGAAAGTCGGCACGCGGGCTTGGGGCAGGATGAGGGGCGCGCGTGCCGCTTGCTGGAAGGGGGCGATGCCCTGCGGTCAAGATATAACAGCGGAGCGACGGCCAAGGAGCGGAGCGACGCACAACGAGGGAGTCGCGCGTCCTCTCGGGGAGACGGAGCCACGAAATCGGCTCGTCTGCACTTGCTGGGGGCGGCCGTCGTCCAGCAGCGGATTATTAGCAATCGGTGTTACGCTCGCTGTCGCGCAGGGCGGCGTCTGAGTCTTAAAAGGCTCGCTCGGGGTGGGGGGGGGGGGGCTCCCATGGGGTTTTTTTTTTGCAGGAGCTTGCCGATGTTTTTCGACCCCCGTGCGAGAGTCTCGATTGGGTACATTTGCGGGGTGACGTTTCAGCAATTGTGGGATGTTTGGCCAAGCGCCGGTGACATTTTTTTGTTTACTTTTTTTTTACGTTACATTATCTACGGGGAAGGGGGAATCTCTGCAAGAGGCATCCGAGTCTGGTGTTGAACCCAGGACTCTCTTGCTGCGAGTTTTACCACTGCCCCCCCCACCACCACACACACAACGGCCGACTCTCTCCTTCGAGTGACATCGCGGGATCTTTAACGTTCACCGTGATGCAGGCGGCGTGTAATTACTATATGGTTGATACACCCGCAGTATTAACCAGGGCGGTTATGCCGGATTTTTCAACTTGTGAACGTCTGTAAAAAGCGCGGCTGTAACCGTGCTGTCACCGGGGTCAGAGCCAGTGCCTTAATCGGTTAATGACGGTAGCTGATTGTGATGACGATGATGTGACGCGGTGGCGGATAAAGGTTTATTTATTCTATCGAAGGTGTGGAACCTATTAAGAAAGCTTGCGATTTCGCCACCTTCCCCCTCTCTCGGGAAGTTTCTATATTCGCTCCGCGGGTGACGCGGAGGGACAAACTCCTGTGCCTGGTTACAAAACGTTGCGGTGAAAACCAGGTCGGCCGCGGGGAGCCGTGCTCGTACTCGGCCGCCCCGGGGGAACGGACGGGTCGCATCGCGCCCGGTCAGCTCCGGTCTACTCCGGTCCGGCCTGGTCTGATCTGGTCTGGTCCGGTCCGGCCTGATTCGGTCCGGCCTGATTCGATCCAGCCCGATCCGGCCTGGTCTGGTCCGATCCGGTCCGGTCCACTCAGGTCCACTCAGGTCCGGTCTGGTCCAGTCCACTCAAGTCCGTTGCAGACCAGACCGGACCGGTCTGCCCCCGTCCGGTCCGATCCGGTCCGATCCGGGAGGGGGGCCAGAGAGCCTCCTCGCTTAGCCGGAGATTTTGTTGTGGCCAAAAATCTTTTGCCCCCTTTTCCGGTAGCGAGATGCAACAACAGGACACCACCACCACCGCCGTGTGTCGACGAGCGAGCGATTGAGCTGCTCGGCTTTGTCGTCGTCGTTGTTAATGCGCACGGAAAGTCGTGGCGACGTCTTCATTAGGCCGGTAGCTATTTTTTTGCTCGCTCGGTCGTCGCGACGTTTGTTTTCAAGATGGTGGACGGACGCTCGTGTTTTTGTATTTAGTTCGCTATTCTCTTCGTCACGTTATTTATTGATTCATTTGTTCGTTATTTTGACGAGTCCGTTTTCTTCATCACGTTATTTATTTACCCCCCCACCCTCCCTACAATGTTGTGCCAACCGGTGCTTGCTGCGCCAAGTTCGGCCGTGCACATTAATAAACAACCCTCACCTTTCACCTTGGCGTTTGTGCCACCATGATGTAATGATGTATTCGAAGACGTATCAGCTGCCCGTCCACCACCACGCGCTCGTGAGGTTCATCTGGGATGGGATTGTGGGGGGGGGGTTGAAGTTGAAGGCAAAGGCGCAGCCCCGCAATTGCCCGCTGGCGGAAGAGCTTCCCGCCCCCCCACTTCAGCCCCCACCCCGTAGAGGATACTATTTTGGCCTACTCTTCCACAACGGAAGTCCGGACGTCTCTGTAGATGAGAGACACTTACCAACACCTTACCCCCCGGCCCCCCCGGCCGCAACCGCACACTCCGAGAGCTACGACTCTCCGCCGTGGTGACACCACGCGCGTTCTGTATCCACCGCAGCGTGGACTGGAGGTTTGCGTTTGGGGTCCGAGTGGGGGGGGGGGGGCAGCACTCTTGATGAGTTCGTTTCAGCTGCACGCGGAGGTGTGGGGGGGCGGGGGGCGGGGGGGGGTGTACATTCGAAATGGGCCCGGTGCGCTTAGAAGCCACGTGACGCCCAAACGGGGCAGCACTCAAAGCCACTGGCCTCAACAGCCGATCCACAACAATCATAACAATAGTTGTAACACCTCGTCGTAGTGGTGGGAGGAGGAGGCTTTTGCCACCAGGATTATCCATCATAAAAGGAGGTGGTTTGTTTTTGGGGGAGGTGGATGTTGAGATTGCGTAAACATATACATGTGTCATTGAACCCGCCACCACCACCCAACACGGCCAATTAGTAAGGTTTGTCACGCCTGGTTACGAAACGTTGCGGTGAAAACCCAAAACATTCCAAACAGTAACTAATTGGCCTGCTAATTAGTTACTAATTTAGTTACTAATAATTGGCATGTTTTATTCACTTGACAAAACCTTACTTATTGGCTTTGTCGGGTGGCGGCTGGCTTCACGACACATTCACCTTCACGCGATCCAACCCAACAAATAAATTGTTATTGTAAACAATAATGATGATGATGATCACCGCAATCCGTGGACGTGCGCGCCCCCCCCCCACCCCCCCTCCCGCGTTGCGCATCCGTGCACAAAATACTCAAATCAAGAGCGGCCTCCGCTAATGAACCAAAAAGCGGCGTTCTTATTTAACAAGATCTCTCGCCGCGCATATCGATGAACTACCATGTGCACCCCCCCGTCCCCCCAGAGTAACCGAGCTAAACACGGTGGGGGGTGCAGTGTCGGATTATTGTAGTCGCAAACATAGCTGCATATGTAGTAGCTACTACTACTACGTATGTAGTAGCTATGGGCCCCGCACTTTCAAGGGCCCCGCGCTAAATGCTTTCAAACGATAAATTCCGGTTCAGTGATTCTGCACTTGCTCTATTACTATAGCACTATACCATCTTAAACTTTTATTAATGACTGGGTGTTTAAGGTTAGGGATTTGTCGTATTATCTGGCTGTATAGCAAATTAAAAAAATACAATTACTTTACTGTGCAAGTAAAACATTTGTGTGTTTTTTTATTTATTTAGGGCCTCTTTATAAAATACTAGCGGGAAGTACCCGGCATTGCCCGGGGGAAAAAATAGATTTCAAAACTTATCTTCAAAACATAACATATATATGCACAAATACTAAGCTATTGTGAAAGCCCGGCGTGCCGTTTGTCCATTTGTCCGTCAACAAAATTATAAGAAGCTTGCAGAACTCCCAAAAGTTATAGAAAGTGGGGGTAAATAGTTGATCTGAAAGGTTTCCGAAAATTGTCGACCCCCCCCCTCAAAAAATATGTTTAGCCCCGCGTAGGTATATATACCTAAACATCCTACATACAATAGAGTGAGTAGTATCTAGTGACTCTTTAGTAGTAACTGACTCTACAGTAGTATCTGGTTTTTACAGTAGTATCTACTGACTAGTATATATTTACTCTAAATAATATCGACTGACTCGAAAGTAGTATCTGATGACACTACAGTAGTATCTACTGACGGTACAGTAGTATCAACTGACTATAGTAGTAACTACAAACTCTACAGTAGTATCTACTGACTCTATAGCAGTATCCACTGACTCTATATCATCTACCGACTCTATAGTAGAATCTACTGACTCTGTAGTATCTACTGACTCTGTAGTGTCTACTGACTCTACAGTAGTATCTACTGACTCTACAGTAGTATCTGCTGACCCTACATAGCAATATCTACTGACTATAGCAGTATCTACTGACTATAGTAGTATCTACTTACTCTACAGCAGTATCTACTGACTCTATCAACCAACTCTATAGTAGAAATACTGACAATAGTGGTAGCTACGGACTGTAGTATTATCGACTGACTCTATAGCAGCATCTCCCAATTCTATAGTAGTAACTCCTGACTCTCTAGTAGTATCTACTGACTGTAGAAGTATTTACTGATTGTCGTAGTATCTACTGACTCTACAGTAGGATCTACTGACTCTATCGTAGCATCTACTGATCGTAGTAGTATCTCCTGACTGTATAGTAGAATCTACTGACTGTAGCAGTATTTACTGACCGTAGTGGTATCTACTGACTTCAGTAGTAGCTACTGACTCTATAGTAGTATCTACCGACTCTATAGTAGTCATTACTGACTCTATAGTAGTATCAACTGACTATAGTAACTACTAATGCTACAGTAGTATCGACTGACTTTATAGTAGTGTAGTGGGCTCAAATGGAGACTCAGACGTACTCTTTGGAGGCAACACATTTAACACCAAGACTGGTTAACACTATACACCTATGGTGGTGACCACAAGGCTACACTAATCACACAGTAGCTGGCTACAACGGACCGGACC